TAATTCGAATATTTAAAAAAAAATATATATATATATTCAAATGAATATTAGACAGCCCTTAATATTTGAAATGTATTTAATGACTGCAAATAAAATAGTTAGCTTCCAAAGGTTTTGCTGTGACGTAGCTAGGCGGATAACAGTTAAAGTAACCTAGTTCAAAAACTCTCTCGAACTACATGAACACTGAACAAAGAATTCTGAATGGTGGGTCACAACAGCGGTGAGTGACCCATTTATATACCGAACCTAAATCCATAATCTGTTGATTTCATGTTAATGGTTACTTTGCGCTAGCGGAGCTAGCCACTAGCTTCTCTGCACAAACAGAAGTAACTATCAGCTAGTGACAGGCGCCTGCTGAAAGCTCGTTGTACTTGCGGAGTATTGTTAGTATTTTACACACCTGAATTACAAGCAGAGATTGCAAAATGGCAGCGGTCATTATTGGTTTGAGAGTTTCGTTAAAGAAAAAATGATCGGTAGAACGTTTTGAAATTACACTCAAATCAATGGAGTGTTCTGCTGCTGCTGTGAGGAGCTGTATACTAAATTATAATTAAATATTCAAATATATTATTTTGTTTAAATTAATAATCAAACGAACTTTGGATATGAATTTTGTACAAAGCCCTAGTTCATATGGAACTAACATGTCACTAATATACAGTATTTTGATGCGAGGCAACGGAGAGACTTGTACACAAGCAGAGCTGTTTTAAAGTCTATTCTCTGAGCCACAGGAAGCCAGTGCAGAGACCTGAGGACCGGACTAATGTGGTCGTACTTCCTGGTTCTAGTCAGGACTCGAGCTGCTGCATTTTGAATGTACTGCAGCTGTTTTACAGCCTGTTTGGACAGACCTGTGAGCAGGCCATTGCAGTAGTCTAACCTACTGGAGACAAATGCATGGATAAGAATCTCCAAGTCTGCTTTAGACACTATGTTTTTGATCCTGGCAATGTTTTTTAGATGGGAAAAAGCTACTGATGTTACAAATTTGTTGTGGCTATTAAAATTGACTTATTTTTTTTTTTTTTTTACAGCTGCTGGAATCGGGACAGAGTGTGCTAGAAGATGAGGAGGTGGAACTCTGGAAGTCCTTATCTTATGTGCTGCGTTTCACTGTTGTTGTCTCTGGATGGATTGTGTGGTCGCCATCATTTTGAAAGCCAGAGCTCACGGAACTATGGGCAAAGCTGCAGTCCCGGTTGGACGCAGAAGTACAGAGCCACGCACAATCGGCTTCTACACGCAACGGACCTCCCTCGGAAAAAACACTGCCAGTTACCTACAATCCCGAGGAGCCCAATGGACATTTCACAGAGTTGTAGTTTTTTTGCCTCTACCTCTGTGTGGGCAGATCCTCGCTTTGTATAGTTGTGTTTGTTGTAATAAAGCTTTCTTTCCATGAACATGTTCCTGGCAAATGTTCATTTCCTATGTAAATTAATTCATGTGATGGCCTAGTAATAGTATAGTAGCCTACATAGGATAAAGTATATGCAGCATAATATGAATGAATATATATTTATATAGATATTATTATTAAATCAATTATGATCTGTCACCGATGGTGACAGATCTGCCAACCAATCACGAGTGATTTGACTTATTTGAAAGTAGTAACTTCATCCAATAAAGAGTAAGCTTGTTCAAGCCTGGCCTGGGCAGTGTTTTTTTGCTGCCAATCACAAGTATTTTTTCTAGTTTGAAAGTAGTGGTTCGCCAATACTGACTGAAGGATTTTCAAGCAGCCTGGCCAGCCGCTGCATTCGTATGCTAATTAGGTCCATTAGCACATCCAAGATAAGCCATGGTATGTTTCTGACAATTTGTGGCACAGGCAAAAGCTACCAACGCGGGTTGTCAATTGTCGTAAATTGCCGAAAATGAGGGAGATTGAGGCGTTTACGGAGACGGAAATCACACTTTTAATGCAGTGCCTCTTTGTTTTCTTAGGATTACCTGTGTTGCTGGGGGTCGGCCCGATGTTCCCCGGGTCCGGTGTTCCCCGGGTCCGGTGTTCCCCGGGTCCGGTGTTCCCGGGGAACATCGGACCTTCCAAACGCCGGAGGGCCCGGTGTTCCCCGACTGCGGGCCTCGCATAGACATGTTATTGCTGCGCGCGGATAATGGAGCAACAAGCGGCTTTCGCTCATAACTAGTCTAGGGCTACTGAATACTTTATATTATAAGCCTAGTAGATCTCGCATTGTAGTAGCCAACTACATTTTTACAACCTACCACCTCAGAATAAGAACGTGTTGCAGATAAGAAAAGTAAAATTAGCTCCACCACCTTTTCTTTTTGGAAACATATCTCCCTCCGTTCATCCTCGCAACAGTATCGGCGCCAGGTTTGCAATTTTGGGTAGGCCTGCAGATTAGTAAGTAGGCCAAATTCGCTTGCAAACTACAAAGGCTAACTGGAATTGGGGTTTCAAAGAATATGGTTCAAACGCACACACGCACGCACACGCACTCACGCGCGCACATACACACAAGCTCATTTATGAAACTTGCGTTGAAAAAGGTGTACATTTTGGGTGTATATTCCATTTACGCAATTTGCCAAAATGTTTTGATACATTAGAAAAATCCTTATTGAATTGTAGAAGTGAATAAATATAGATTACGATTGAATGAATGAATAATTCATATATATTATGCAGCGGTGGCTCTCATGAATGAAGCGTCTGCAGCGTCTTGGACGCAGCCTGGCTCGGGGTAGAAGTGCGCATTGAGGCGCTGTACACTTCAGAGAGCGTTTGCGGTCCAGATTTCACAAAGAAACTCTGGAGCCAAAACTTCTGCACATGTGGCGCGACCTCTCACGGCACTCGCTGCGCACTCTGGACAGGGCAGTGAGACATTTGAGTGAGCAATACCATCGATGCGTTATTGGGGTGTGTGTCTGTGTGAGGCTTACACAAATCTAATGAAATAACACATTGCTTTACCAGATGTGAATGAGGAATACAAATAGCCGTGCGTAATTACGCAGCGCAGAGCCTGCACAGCAATAGATGGGTCACACATCCCTGTTGCGTAAAGTGTATTTATATAGAGCCTTTGACTGTCCAGGATCACAAAGCGCTTCACATTTTAAAAACATACAGATCAAAATAATACACACACAAGTCAGATTTAATAGAGGGTACTCATCATGAGCTGTGATTTATTCGAAGTTTGCGTGTTTCCATTAGACTTTTTCTGATGCGCAAATTCAAATTTTGAAACATGATCCTCAATGAAAACACAGCATATAATTTTGCCAGAGGGAATATGTTTATTGTTGTACATATCTTGAATTTCATGCGTGTTGTGCCGAAGGTTGAGTTCAGCGTATAGATTTACACCACCTCCAGACCTGGCGTTTATTTTGTGCGTATTGTACGCTCACGTCCAGATAGATAAATGCGGAAAAGTGTAATATTTTGCGTACGCCTCATTTACCCTGATTTGGCCGTACGCAGGTTTCATACATGAGGCCCACAGTGAGGCCCACAGTGAGGCCTACAGTGAGGCCCACAGTGAGGCCCACAGTGAGGCCTACAGTGAGGCCCACAGTGTGTCTCACACAGGCCTAGAGTTTACCTCATCAGTGCGAGCCTGGCCTGACCCTCCTCCTCTGGGACCTACGGGCCCGGGCCTCTGGCTCCTCTACCTCACAAAGTTCACGCTGAACTTTCTTAAAATTAAAATGAAAAAGGCTGCTCTTTTGTGAATGCTTTGAGAACGTTGTCAATCTTTAAGACGAGGAATAGCTGGTTGTTCTCGCTTCACGCTGTGTGATATGATATTGGACAAAATTGTTCAGCCAATAAACAGGACTAAGCAACGTAGGAACGTGATGACGCTCAGGGGGTTATATTATTATTATAATTATTATTATTATTCCCCCCACTGTAGGAGCCAATAAACTTTTCAATATTTTTGAATTCTGAGCGTTTCCAATTGTATTTAAAAATGGGAAACCTAATTAAACAATCATGAATTGAGCTTTTCCGATCTTATTTTACACTGATTCCTTTGATCATTTTTTTCTTAAAATTCAAGTTGTAAAAATGCTATGTTTGAATTGGTTATTTACATTTTAACTGTGAGTGACACGTAAGGCGGGACAACAATGCACAATGACGCACGCATTCTGAATAGAATAATATGTATTAATATCTCTAAAACTAAAAGAGCATATTCAAGTTTTACAACAAAAACGACGTCATATGCGTGTCCATTATGCGTAAAAGCACAGTGCCCTCAGCAAAACCACGTATTTGGAAAAACTATAGGCTAACAGATGTAGTAGCTCTAGTTTCAATCGTCCTCATTTTATTCAGTCAGACTTGTCAAATATAGATGCCCATGGGAGAGCAAGGGGAGATAACATGCCCATAACATGCCCAAAAATATCCTGCATAGACTCAAGCTGCGATCAGCTGAAATATGAGCACACAAAGAGCGAGAGGGAAAAAGAAAAGTAAATAGGCCTAGGCTAGTTAGTATTTTTTCTCTCACAAAAGTTGGCGCGGATCATATGCCATCTTTCGTGGAGGAGGAAACATCAAACATCAAAGTGCGCACGCGGGGAACAGCGGGACTGGAAGTGAAATCGGGTGTGTGGAACAGGTGACATGCTGTGGCTAATCACAACGGAATGGAGAAAACCAGGGATGGATTGTATGGACTCAGGAGTGATTTAAACCCTGGGTTACAACGGCCGCTAGTCACATATCACCAGAATGACTGACAGTAAGGACTAATAGTCTTCATGATCGAGAAAATCCTCAGACTTACCTAAAGTATAGAATCTCAAACATAACATAACAAATAATAAAATATTTTATTATAGTTTATTATAGAGCAAGAAATAGTTGTATGTTTACATCTGTACTAGCAGCCTGAGGCTCGGTGACACAGTGACTCAGTAAAGTGACAGTGACAATTGTGCTTCTGTTTGCACATTCTGACATTCTTCTTCCCCAGCGGCGGTTTGTCATGAAAAAATACAAGCACCTGATGTACTTCCTGCTGATGGGAGGTGCTGCTACCCTTTGCATGTTTCTGCTCCAGCCTCAGGACGGTCAGTTTGAGCTCATTCATGACTGTGCATCCAGTTTACGTTCTGCCTGCAAACCTGTTTGTTGTGTGGTTACAGATAGGCATCTTCAGACCCAGGAGCAGAGGAAGAACAGTCTGCAGGAGATGTGTGGTTTCCAGGACAACAATCCCACCCTGGAACACCTGACCTCGGCTCACCTGAGACAATTCATAGTTGACGACAAACACAATCTAATCTACTGCTTTATCCCCAAGGTCAATACAACAGACACCAAACACTAAAGCCGCGTTCAGACTGGATCATGCGTTGCGACGACTTTCAATGCAAAGTCAATGGTGACGCGCGTTCGAGCGTGGAACTGCATGTGTGTCTCGGCTCTAGTGATGGTCGAGACACACACGCAGTGATGCCCATGATGCATTGAGGGTTTGCAGCCTATTACTCGGCCCATGGTTCGAAGGCTCGAGGTGATTCATGCTCCACTACGCCATCATGTGGACAAAATATATATAACACTTAAAGAGCGACTAAACACCAAATCAACTTTTTTTTAACCCATAAACTGCATAAATGTTAATTGTAGTGCTCTCTACATATGCTGGTCATTTTTTGACATTTTAGTTCAAATTAGATAAAATCTCACTTTTGAGCCAAAAAACGTCTGTGTGGCGCCCTTTCTACTTTTTTTGATGGTACTACATTTGAATTTGGTTCTGGCCTCTCCATTGACCCTGAAATTCTCTATGACGTCACACTGACTTCAGTCTGTCTGCGCCAGTGATATCAACCCATCCAACTCTCACACATGCCCCAGCTGCAGGTTGGAGTATTCTGGCGACATCCAGTGGATTAAAATTAAATTACATGAGTGATTCTGAGATAATTCTGTGGATTAGGTTCAGGTGTGTAGCTCCACAATTATCTTAGTGTGTAAACAAGGGTGGAATGAGACTTTCTGGTGTGTAAACTATTGCTTTAAGCTGCAATGACAACTGTATGATTTTTTTGTGTGTGACAAGTGAGCTGTCAATCACAGCCCAGACCACGCCCAACTCTTAGCCCCCCTTCTTGTCCCTTGGTCCTTCAGGCAACGCCCTTTTAAGAGAAAATTTTCAAATCTTCATGTGGGCGGAGTAAGGCTGGGCACAGATGTTTACCTGCTCTTTAAGGGCTTACAATGAATGGTGGGGTCTAATATTAATATTGGTATTTACAGTCTATGGTCTAAACATGCTGAGTTTGAAATGATGCTTCATGAACTATGAACTACTTGAGGCTTTCAGACAATTGTGTTGATACAACAAACATATTGCATCCAAAGCAATACAGTTTTACAAAAAGTGTTTAATTGAGAAACTACCATGAGGTGGATTAATTAAACACAACAAACCATTTATTCCCAATAATTAATTATATTTACTTTGCAAATACAAAACTGATTTTGAGCCAAACAGGCAGGGGGTAGCACCAAATTCAGGGCCCCGGGTACAAACAGTCTCAATGGGCCCCCACTACACGTTTCTTAATATATATATATATATATATATATATATATATATATAAATTTAATTAGTTAATACAATTCTGATTCATGTCCTTTGGTTTTATTATCATCAATATTGTTGATGGCCATTAGCGGACTTGGCATACTGGAGATAATTTGGGAATGGTTTGCCCTCCATATCTTTGGGTATGGTATTGCCTGTTTTTGAACCACCATCACTGGCTAGTAGATGAACAATTCTTTTCCTTTGTTTATCGGTGAGATTCTCTGACCATAATCCTGGGTCCTCTGACAATCCCTCATCATTATTACTCTGTCTCTTGGTGTCGTCTCTTTCCTCCTCAATCCTCTCCACATTCTCATCACTTTCGCTTTCCCTTTCATCACTTAATTCAGTTTCTACATCCTCTTCTAATTTTGCCTCTGCCTCTGCTACATGGACACAATACAGACAAAAATGATATAGAATTAGTGTATACAGTAAAACTTATAAAGTAATAACTTACTAACTTATTGAAAACAGTTCAATCAGTGACTGATAAATGCTCACCATGCCTCACTGTCAAACCCTCACTACTAGTGCCTTCATCTGACCATGATGCTTCTCTTCCTGAAACTGAAATAAAGTAGCTTTAATGGGTTGCAAACAGATACTATATTCCATCATTACAGTGTATAGCTATTACGTATATGCCTGCATGCCTTTATGTGATATGTGTATATGGCTATTCATATAAAATATATAGTATATCTTATCTTATTTGTATGGACCATGAGTAGGTAAGTTACTTATTTGTTATTGTACAAACATACAACAAAATACTTTTTATGGTTCATTATTATCCACCAATTTAGACTTTGTGAAAATTCAATCGATGCAATCTTTTTTGAAATAAGCCTATTCCATTTTCAACTAAACACCTGTGCCTAGCCTTACTCCGCCCACATGAACATTTGAAATTTGTCTGTAAAAATGGCACCAGTGGAGAAGAAGGGGGGCTTACATTTGGGCATGGTCTGGGCTGTGATTGTCAGTTGTCATTTCTGGCTTAAAAGCAATAGTTTACACACCAGAAAGTCTCATTTCACCCTTTAGACCATTAGACTTATTTACATTATTTTGACCACTAGATGTCACCAGAAACCTCCAAATCGGTGCGGGGGCGTGTGATTTGTATGGTTATAACCAGATGATCCAATGCAGAGGCCAGTGAGTGACCCGTGACTTATGACTGCAAGACTCACGGACGGACAGATTATGACAATAGTGGGAATATAGGGTACAGGGTTGTACATGAAAATAACTCTTTGCTGCCTGCCTTTGAAGGAGAAGTGGACAGCAGTGTGTGTGAGCTCCCTTTACAGCTGCGCGTCTGTGTGTGTCCACTCTGGATAACGTTTTTTTTTTTTTACCACGTACACAGCACACTGTTAGCTCTCCGTGAGTTTAGAATACAGAAACAAATGTCTCTGGGTTTTCTCCTGATGTAGCCTTAACACGTCTCTATATACTCACCTCTCATGTGGAAGAACTGAGTAAGCAATTGCTTGCCCTCATTACACTTTTTCTCCCTGTCTTGTCTTTCTTTTCTTTTCTGAAATCCTGATTTTACTTTCTTTGGAAAAGACATTTCTATTTTTCCCGCTTCTGCCGCTGCTTGTCAAACAAGTCAACTCGCTGCAGCGGCAGCAACACAGCAACAAGCGCACATGTGGGTCGTACCATTTGATCTTTTGTAAGGGGGTGGCAGGGCCCTGATACAGCATACAAATTTGTTTTTAGAGGAAAACTGAGGTTAAAACGTTGGTTATTTTTATACAGGGCCCCTTTCATTCAAATTGTAATAATATGAATATACCATAATGCCTAATACATATAAATATAAAGACACACTTTAGAGGGCCCCTCCCCGCCTTGGGCCCTGGGTACTCGGTACCCTTTACCCCCCCAGTCCGACGCCCATGCAAACAGGATTTGATCCACATATCTTCAACTTCAGAGTCCAGTAACTACCGACCGCGCCACGCAACTATTATGCACCTTGTCTTTCAGCGTATTATTAACTTAAACAAAAGTGAAACATCATGACATCAAGGCAAACCTGGATATATGAAACTGAGGTTTTACTAAAGTGAAACGTTTTAAATTGTATTTCATATGAAGTTGATTCGCTATAATTAGGTACAGGACTGCTCCACATCACGCACACACACGTACGAACACAGAGACAGACGGGTAAAGCTGCGGATCACGAAACAATGCGGCCGCACCACCTCTGCTGTGATCAGTCCAGTTCCTCCCGGCGGCCGCACCACCTCTGCTGTGACCTGTCCTGCTCCTCCCGGCAGCCGCACCACCTGTGCTGCTGTGACCTGTCCTGCTCATCTCAACGGCTACACCACCTCTGCTGCTGCGTCGTTCTTCACCGTGGAGGATGTCCGGGTGGAGCTAAATAAGCTCCAGGGGAGGAAGTCTGCTGGGCCTGATGGGATAACGCCAAGGATCCTAAGGGAATGTGCAGCGGAGTTAGCTGAGCCTCTCCATACCATCTTTAACAAGAGTCAGTCAGACCGGATGCAAGGACTACAGTCCAGTGGGACTAACATCTGTCATAATGAGGACTTTTGAGAGGCGAGTACTCCGACTGCTCATGCCACAGGTTGAGCAGGCTCTTGACCCCCTGCAGTTTGATCCTTGTCCTTCCTGGATGGCCCTGGAGGATATGTGAGGCTGATGTTCTTCGACTTCTCTGGAGTGAGAGAAATGGACTGATTCTCAATGCGTCCAAGACCAAGTCGATGATCATCAACTTTCACAGGAGCCCTTCCCGTCGACCGGTCACAGAAAATGGACAGGACATCGAAGTGGTTCATTATAAATATCTGGGAGTCCACCTCAGTGTTGCCAACTTAGCGACTTTGTCGCTAGATTTAGCGACTTTTCAGACCCTATAGCGACTTTTTTTCAAAAAAGCGACTAGCGACAGATCTAGACAAAGCATTAAAATCATTAAATGTTGTTAATGTTGAAATTATTTTTGTACATTTGTAGTTCTAAACACATTTAGGGTGTTTTTTACTCACTTTTGTCTCTCCCACGACGTTATTCCTCTCTCCTACAGCGTCCGTTACAGTTATTTGCAAATTGCCAATTATGCAAATTAGGCGATGACGTCATTTAGCGACTTCTAGCGACTTTTGGGATAGCCAATAGCTACTTTCCTTACTGAGGAGTTGGCAACACTGGTCCACCTGGACCTCAGACTGGACTGGTCAGCTCAGGCCAATGTCATCTACAAGAAAGGTCAGAGCAGACTTTTCTTTCTGAGTAGACTGAGGTCCTTTAATGTGAGCAGTCAAATGTTGCACATTTTTTACCAGTCTGTTGTAGCTAGTGCCGTGTTCTTTGGGGTTGCGTGTTGGGGCGGCAGTCTGACCTCCAGAGACAGTAACCGGCTCGACAGGCTGATCAGGAAATGTGTTTCTGTGATGGGGAGAAGTGTGGACTCTGGGAGCTGTGCTGGAGAGCAGGATGAGGGCTCTAATGCAGTGCATCCTGGGTAACTCCAGACACACTCTGCATGACACTATGGCCGCTCAGAGGAGTAATCGAAGCAATAGCCTCCTATCACTACGCTGCCGAACAGAACTTTTCAAGAGATACTTTGTTCCTTCGCTTTCAGACTGTACAACAAACCTGACTGACTGTACAACAACAAAAAAGAGTCTTCTGCTGCTGGACAACTGAATTTCTCCTACGCCGGTGGCTGCTAACTCAGTTGCCACGCCGGTTGCCGCTCGCTCCGTCGCCACGCCGGTGGCCGCTGTTCTTTGCCACGCCGGTGGCCGCTCGCTCCGACACCACGCCGGTGGTCTGCTTCGACAATGATTTTGACCACGCCGGTGGTCTGCTGCGCCATGCACCGCATCAATTCTCTCTTCTTTACAGTACGGCTTAGCGCCCTTTAAGGCGGCTGGCGGGACCCTAGCGCGACCGTCTGGGCTCGGTCGGACACAGTCTGCGCCGCCTCGTCCCTCCCCTCTTCTTTGGGGTTAAGTATCTCAACACTACTTTGCCACTTAATCAAATCAGTACCTGGTGGTGATTCATACAGTTCTACGTATTGCGTACATATTCAGTTAGTCCTGGATCTATAGCCTGTCCGTCCGTGGGAGCGGATCCCTCTCTCAAAAGTGGACCTCCCCGAGGTTTCTCATTATTCCTACAGGGTTTTTGAGTTTTTCCTTGCCGATGCAGGAGGGTCTGTTGGACCCCTTATGGGTTAAAAAAAAGGAAGGTGATCCAGGCCATTTAGGGACGCTAACGATTCGGTTATAAACTTGATTAACTGTACTCCGCTTACATCACTTTCCGCAGCACAAATAATTGCCTAATTAATCAGCATTCTCACATCATTCCTGTAGGCTTTCGATTCCGCTATACATCAAATATCTTCAGGTAATCTTCCTTTAACCCTCTGTGCCCATGGGTCATTTTGGGGAACTTTCCTCGCCTGGTTTTCTTTGTGTATAATGGTTCATAAAACAGTCATCTTTTGATGCAGAGTCAAGCAGTATACTTTGTTTTTTTCAGTACAACCTGGGGTTTTAGAATATTCATATTGTAAAGCTGTCATATGAATTATATAAAAATGATGGAATCATAAAGACAAAGAAAAAAATCAAACGGAAAATCAATTTAACAAAAATGTATTGAAAAAACACCATGAAATGCTATAAACAACTTTTTACACTGCATAGAAATGTTATTTATGGTCTTGGGGATAATGGGGGAAAAAATTGAATCTCTAACTATTATACTTTTTACAAAATTCCACTATAAAAGCAAAAAACTCTGTACTCCTGATGCCCTTCTTGAAGCAGTTTGTCTATAATGCTGGGGTTGCTTCTGTAGTACAGCTGTAAAAAACGTAAAACATAAAAAACTGAGCCAAAAAAAAAAAAAAACATCAATTATTTATTTAATACATATATTTATATACATCATATACACATAATGTCATTTTACTGTATTTATTATCGTCTTTATCAATAATGCGCACTCTTCAGCCGGTTTTTGCAATCGCAGCTGTAGTTTCAACTGTGGGAGAACAAGGAAACGCAGAGGAGTGAGAGATCTCACTCTCTGACGATCTTTGGCAGTCCCCGTGTGTTTGTATCTCACAGCTGTTTGTACCTCACGGGTCATGCTTTGGACACGGACTTTCAGACAAACGTAGTTTATCCTCCGTGCATCGCACAGACAAATCAAAACTAGTTTCGGAAAGCCCTGAATACGTACTTCACAGAGGGAAAAAAAGTAAGTTACCGTTCGCGAGTAAATTGATCATTTGTAAAACATGTGCCGATGCACGCGGGCATATAGGGTTAATTCACGGCCTTATTCCCTAGCAAGCAATTCCTAAGGTGCCGACACCTTCCTTTTGGGGGATTTCATCTCATCTCTTTCCCCTTCTGCAATCGTGCAGTGCTCTGCCGGAGTCTTAGCGCCAAACCCTAACCACATTCTGTTCATCACAATAAACGTAATCTTGAAAATATTATTATTATAGGGGCCCCCTACAGCGCTGCTTAACACCAGGGCTTCGACTTCAAAATTTGAATATAATTCTAAAATTATATATATATATATATATATATATATATATATATATTATATATATATATATATATTTGAACTAATATTAGACAGCACTTAATATCCAAAATGTATTTAATGACGGCAAATAAAATAGTTGGCTCCCAAAGGTTTCACCGGGACGTGCTAGGCAGGTAACAGCTAAAGCCTGGTTCACACGAGACGATTTTAAAATTGTCGGCCGATTTTTCTCTGTGTGAGACCCCACACAGGGAGATAAAAACCCCCCCCCCGCCCCCCCCCCCCGAGTATTCACAGATCAGACGGAAATCTCAGGTCTCGCGAGATCAAGCGTGACTTCAGAGTAAACACACATGGCGGACGAAGAGGATGCATTGGCGATAGTTTGTTTTTATCGGAGAAAATACGTAATCAAAAGAAAAGGCGATGGTCAAAGAAGTGTAGACAACACGAGCATGGACTATACTTGCTACATCGTGATATGGAGGCGTTTCCTCACCGCCTCGTCTCGTCTTCTGATTGGCTACACGCCGCAGTCATGGCAACGCGCACGTCTGTCCTCGGGGGACACCACACACGAAGAGAAATCGGGCCAAAACAATCCAACATGTTGGATATCCCCGATTTGAGATCGGGAGCAGTCCCGATGTCCTTCCGAGCGACGAGTGCAGTCTTAACACACCACACACGGCAGGATAATCTGTAAGATTTTGTTACGGAAATTGGAGCGTTTCTTAAGATTGTTGTAAGGGGTAAATCGGGTCTAAATCGGCCTAAATATCCTGCCGTGTGAACCAGGCTTAAGCTAGCTAGCTGTTTCATGGTAACTTCCAGGTTTTTCGCGATCGCTTTTTGTCATTTTAAAACAGTATTTTTGTCGTGAAAACGTTGACAGCAAATTCTGAAATCGTCCGTGCATGTGTGTTAAGGATGTATATGTATACTGTATTGTCCGATTAACGTTTAATGGTGTTGATTGATAGATATGTAGTTGTTTATTGAGCGTGGCTAGCTCCGCTAGCTTCTCTACACAGACAAGTGTGCAGAAAAACTGCACAATGTAGTGACAGGCGCTGATAGACTTGCGGAGTAATGGCAGTATTTTACACACCTGAATTACAAACAGAGATTGCATTGGGGCTGCGGTCATTATTGGTTTGAGAGTTGTTATCAAGAAAAAATGATCGGAAGAATACGTATCAGATCGCAAATAAAACTAGGTGGCTCCGTGGGATGAGAGCGTAGGGGAAATGAGAAGCCATTGAGCAAGTGTGGGAGCGATGCTAAACATTCAAACATTGCAGAAACAGGTATAGCGCCTTTAATCCATTTCTGGGTCAGGGGGGGGGGGTGGCAGTCAGAGCTGCACCCAAGTCTCATAGCACCAGCCCCTCACTGACCCTCTGCAGGTGGTGAGTCCACAGGAGGACGGCTGCTCTGTAAGTGTGAGCATAGCCTTGATCTTTCAGCGGGGGCTTTTGGGCAAAGGGGGGTTAAGTGTCATGCCCAAGGACACATGGACAGCAGACATCAGTGGGAGCTGTCTATTAGTGACCCCATCCTATTTATTGGGGGCATTACTCTATTCCCGGGCCAAAGAAGAATGGCATATATACTGCTGCTGCAGGAGGTTGCAGGGTCCGCGCTGAGTCTCCGCGCTTGTCTCTCCCATGGTTCTATTATGGGTCTGCGCTGGTATCTCCTCGTGTTCGCGCTGGTCTCTCCAGTCTATGGTCTCTCCTCGGGTCTGCATTGGTCTCAGCACTGGTCCGCGCTGGATCTCCTCCCAGGGTCCAAAATATTTTGAGATTCATCTCATATTATGTTCGGATTAATATTTAAATTAAAACAAAATATTTTTAAACTATTCTCATATGTTTTAGACAAGATTAATTAAGTTCAACTTCTCATAATATTTTGACTTTAAAGAGCGACTTAACACCAAATCAACTTTTTTTAAACTCATAAACTGCATAAACATGTTTATTGTAGTGCTCTCTACATATCCTGGTCATTTTTTTGGCATTTTAGTTCAAATTAGATAAAATCTCACTTTTGAGCCAAAAAACGTCTGTGTGGCGCCCTCTCTACTTGTTTTGGTGGCACTACATTTGAATTTGGTTCTGGCCTCGTCATTGACTAACCTTGCCTGCAAGCTGAATTCTCGCGGTATTTGTGAGTTCACAAACACTCGAGAATACATCTTGTACCGCTCCCGCTTACACTTTTCGAGTCGAACCACTGGGTGTGCGAGCCAATCACGCGCCAGTCTGGGGGTTTAGGGCGGGATATCCGGGTTTGACGAAAGCAAGAAGTGCCGGGCCGAAGCAAAGCAAACATGGCTACGCAGGAGGACGGACGCGTAGCTGAGGCTATCAAGTCAGTTTTAGCAGAATCTCCAATTTCTTTTTTGAAAGATGAACAGCGAGAGGCGCTTTGTGCATTTCTGGACGGCAACCTTGGTAGGCGGGCACACAGCGTCACTTCGCCCAATCAGCTTGAAGTATTCTGCTGCTTATCCCTCCTTTCCCCGAAAGGATTCTCCGGGAGAAATCCCAGATTGATATCGTGGAGAACGCGTTAGAGTTCTACACAATCATCAATCTGGCTCTTGCCAGGTTAGTCATTGATTGTAATTCTGTGTGACGACAGTTTGTATCTGTGACGGTGCGCCTGTCTGCGCCTGTGGAATAAACCCATTCAACTCTCACACACGCCCCAGCAGCAGGTTGGAGTATTCTGGCGACATCTAGTGGTTTTCAGGTGTGTAGCTCAACAATTATCTTAGGGTGGAATGAGACTTTCTGGTGTGTAAACTATTGCTTTTAGCAGCAATGAGTCAATCACAGCCCAGACCACGCCCAACTCTAAGCCTTCCATGGTCCTCCAGGTAACGCCCTTTTTAGAGAAAATGTTCATCTTCATGTGGGGCGGAGTCAGGCTGGTTACAGGTGTTTAGTTGCTCTTTAAAGTCAAAATTGTATGACTTTGATATCAGTTTGGCAAAATAAGAAAAAAGGGTGACTCTTTTGCTCTGTGTTACTCTTTGCTCCTCAATGACAATGTTTAAAACCAGGTTAAAGACAGTCCTGTTTAGCTGTGCATACAACTGAGGGATTTTATATTTTTAGCTTTTTTAATGTTCTGTGATCATTTATGATTTTAATGCTTTATTTTGTTCAGCACTTTGAATTGCCTTGTGTATGAATTGTGCTATATAAATAAACTTGCCTTGCCTTGCTTTAAAGTAGCAGTATGTCATATTTGCATGTCAAGTCATCATTAAATGGTCCCATATTTCAAAAGGCGTTATTAAATCATGCTTTTTTTGAATACATC